CCCCTCCATCATGGTTTTCCCACTTAAGGTGCCCCCATTTCCTCCCTTTCTACCTTAATAATACCCTTCCCCTATGGTCCTATCTCTCGAGCTCCTTCTTTCCCTTTATCCCCTAGGTTCCTTGTATACCTTTCCCTCCCCCCTCCCTTAAACTAACCCAATTTTTATCCATATGTCCCTTATTAAGGCCTGTTCCCTATTCTTCTCTTTCAGGTCACTTTTTTCCCCTTTACCTCCCTGGTTTCTTTCCATTATCCTGGTTCCTGCAGTTATGTCTGGATACATACTCACTTATCAGGGTTTGGTTCTAGGATCCACATATGAGGGAGAACATATGTCGATTTTTTTTTCTGAGTCTGTGTTACTTCACTTAGTATAGCAGTTTCTAGTTCCATCCATTTACCTGCAAATTTCATGATTTCATCTTTCTTTACTGAGTAAAACATCATATAAATGAACCATATTTTCATTATCCACTCATCAATTGAGGGACACTTAGGTTGCTTCCATCTCTTAGCTATTGTGAAAAGAGCGGCAACAAACATGGATGTACAAGTGTCTGTGCAATAGGATTTCTTTGGGTATATACCAAGGAGTTGTATAACTGGGTCAAATGGTAGGTTCATTTGTAGTTTTTTAAGAGTTCTCTACACTACTTTCCATACGTGTTGAACAAGTTTGCAGCCCCACCAGCAGTGGATGAGTGTTCCCCTTTCCCCACATCCTCTCCAGCATTTGGTATCATTTGTTTTCTTGGTCTTAGCCAGTCTGATTGGGGTAAGATGAAATCTTAAAGTGGTTTTAATTTTCATTTCCCTAATTATTAGTGATCCTGAATATCTTCTAAGATGTCTCATAGCCATCTTCTTCATTTGAGAACTCTCTGTTCAGCTCCTAAGCCCATTTTTTAATTGGGTTACTTCTTGTCTTGATTCTCTGTTTTTTGAGTTTGTTATATATTCTGGACATTAAACCTCTGTTGGGTGTGTCGCTGGTGAAGATTCTCTCCTATTCTGTGGGTTTTCTGTTCACTTCCCTGGTTGCCTCTTTTGAAGTGCAGAAGCTTTTTAGTTTAATGAGGTCCCATTTGTTAATTCTTGCCCTTGTTTCCTGAGCAATTGATGTCTGGTTTAGAAAAT